AATAATTTAAATTCATAAATATATATTTCATGTTATAGTATATAAAGTTAGATAACAAAACTCAGAATAATTTCGAACGAACATTGGCATTTTCTTTTACGCAATAAAAATCTTTTATAATTAAAATTTTAAAGTTATCGTTATAATATCTTACTTTTATAATAAAATTTTTATAATAAAAATTTTAAATCATTATAATATCTTAATAAAAGTTTTTATCGTTATATATCAATATATAATATGTTAAAAATGTACTGGATTACAAGATCTCGGATTTTAAACAGCAATTACGTAACTGATTTTGGTGGTCATGCTAGGGAGGTTCTAGGGAGTTACTCGCTGAAATTGTAGTATGGACAGTTTAGAAGAATTTTTTTATTACGTAGAAAATTTTTTTACTACGTAGAATTATGTGTTTTGAGATCTATTTTTCATGTCGATACTTTTTGCAATTCAGTACTGTATATACGTTTCCTTGTATTAAAATTTATTTTATATCATTAGAAATATGGTGTATATAAATGATAGATTTAAATCTAAGAAAAAAAACAAGCCTAAATCTATATGAAAAAAAAAAGCTAGTCTATAAGAAAAAAAAAAAAGCTAGTCTATAATGACAATTTTTCTTTTTTTTCTATCTGATTCTTCTTCCAAATCAATTATTCGTTTTTCAAATTGTTTATTTTTTTCTTCCAGCTGTAAGATTTTTTCGTATAAAAATAAAAAGTTACAACCGGGCTCAAATTCGCGCTCTGGGTTTTCAGATCCTGGTTCAGGGTTGTCATGTTCGGGCTCAGCGTTGGCATGTTCTGGCTCAGGGTTGACATCTAATTCGGGTTCAACGTTGGCATGTTCTGGCTCAGTGTTGGCATGAGCGCTAGCAAGTTCGGGATCAGGGTTGTCATGTTCGGGCTCAGCATTGGCAGGATTAAACACCGGTCTAATATACTGATACGTATAGTATTTTTAGTATATATATATATTTATTTAAATTATAAAGAGTATCGAAAAAAGAAAACTCGAGTCGGCAATTATAGTTTATATTTCCCGGTTCGAGGTTTCTCTTTCCGGCACTCAAATAA